GTGCTCACGCACGCCGGATTGGCTGGTTCGTAAAGCCTTGCTCCCCGAACAAGTCTACACGGTAACCTTACGGAATCCATCCGCGAGACATGGGCCGGACGGGCCGTCCAGACCAGGACGTAGGCCCTTACACAAAATAAAGTTTTGCTTGCTTGTTTGGAGATAGGCGCTGCCGCCGTCAACATAGGCAGCGGATGCAATGCGAGTTTCCGAAGAGGTAGCGTAACTTAGTGGTGAGATGTCTGCCTCATACGTGTCAGACCCGGGTTCTATTTATGGTGTGGGCCGGCTTACTTCTTCTTATTTTTTTTCTCGAACATTTTGTTTTGTCGAGGCATTTGGCGATATTTACATTTCTTTTTTACCATTAACACTAAAAAAACGAATGTTGTTGACGAAACATCGCTAAACTAAATCGTATCGACTCTATTTACGGAAGTGCATGGGGGGCAGCGGGGCTTGGGTTGCCGACCGGACGCCGCAAAGCGGCGTGTACGGGGGGTGGGGGGGCTAGGTGGGTTAATAGATTTGTAATTAGCAGCCGCACACCGTCACCGCGAAGCGGCGTGAACGCAGGCGCGGGGGTGGGTTAACGCGCTTCGAGTGATACACGAGCAGCCCATCCGGCGTGAGCGTCGTTGTTAGGGGTTCTATCGCCTGCACCGTAAAAGGAGCAGTGTGCACCTCCTGTAGTGGGCAAGAATTCCTACATTGGAAAGAAGCGGGGACAAGCCCTTTCTTCAAATGCGTCAAGTCTCCTTGAGCTTCGGAATACAAAGAAACGCCACTATTCGGAGCTAATCCCACAGTTACTCGACCTCTCTTGCGTCGTGTCTGTTCGCTCCCCGCGCCTCGTAGCAGTGTTGTTGCAGTGGGGGGGCTCGTTAAAATTTTGGGGTTTTTTGGACTATCTAAATCACTTTCTTCCTTCCCATCCCCCCCTTTTCTACTCCGCATGCTTCCCCCTCTGCAAATATCAGCTGACCTTCCGACCTTTGTTCTCTGTTGATAGGCAAAACAACCACTAAAATTAGAAAGTAATTTGTAATTTGAGTGGAAGTCACTCGGAAAACTATTTAAAGTAAACTACTGATTACTAGAATAGAAATGTAATTAAAAGTTACTAAACTACCCAGAAAAGTAGTTAAACTACAGTAACTTGAATAAAGTAGTTGAACTACGTACAAGTCTGGCCTGGCAAGCGCTCTGCGTAAGTGTTTTCACTGATCTGCCTAGCCCCGCACACCATCAGATGGGCCAAGAAAGGTGTAGTTTTACTGCAGAAGAGAAATCAGCAGGGTCCAAGATGGTGACAATGGAGGATGGGGGACTGTTCCAGTGGCTGATGGCTTGAGAAAGGAATGACCAATTGAAAGCGTTCGTAGAGCCAGAAGTGTGTTTGATGGTGCAGACGTTGTTGAGGCGAGAAGATGTTCGGTCGAGGGGTAATAACAAAGTGGTTTTGAGGTCGGGAATGTGGTAGTAGATTTTGTGAATAAGGCACAGCTGAGAAACTTTCCTGCGAAGCTGCAAAGAGGACATGGTTAGTTCAGTTTTTTGCGCCGAGACACTGAAAGAAAAGTCATAAGTGGATGAAATGAAGCGAGCAGCTCTGTTCTGAACTGCCTCTACAGCGTATTGATGAGGTACAGTCGATGGGTATTCCAGATGGTTGAAGCATATTCTATTTTTGGTCTGACGTACGTGTTAAAGGTTAGCTTAGGGACAAAGGGTGGAGCGATTTTTGAAGTTACGTCTGCTTAGTCCAAGAGTTCCAGATGAATCGGCGGTAATGACTTCAATGTGGTTATTCCAGGGAAGGTCAGATGTTAGTCTTACACCAAGGTATTTATACACAGTAGCGGTCTCAATCAGATCGGAGTCCAAGAAGTAATTAAATGACAGAGTGGTTTTTTTCTTGGTGAAGTGGATTAGTTTGCGTTTGTACTTGTTTGGTGACATAATCCACTCTTTGCACCAATTGTTAATTTTATCTAGATCTTCCTGAAGCTGGTTATTATTTTGCACACAAGTTACTTTGTTATGGATGACGCAGTCGTCGGCGAAAAAGCGTTTTTTTTTTGAAGAAATCCCAATGGGAATGTCATTAATAAATATTAAAAAGAGTAAGGGCCCAAGTACGAACCCCAGGGGAACACCAGGAGATACATTTATTAAGGAAGATTCATGATCATCATGGACGTGACCTGTACACGGGAAAAAAGAAAGTCACGAATCCATGCAAACGGTTATTGGTCGAGGCAAAAAGATGATAGCTTAGAAAGAAGGCGTTGATGGAGGACACGGCCGAACGCTTTGGAAAAAAAAAAAAAAACTGCGTCAGTTTGGACGTGACATTCAAGGTTAGTGTGCAAGTCATGGATGAAGTCGCAGAGTTGCGTTTCGCAGGAAAGTACCTTTTGAAAACCGTGCTGCTGTTTAAAGAAAAGAAATGGGATGATAGGTGCCTCATGATATTGGAGTAGAGGATATGCTCAAGTAGTTTGCAAGAAATTGAAGTCAATGAATTAGGGCGATAATTAGATGCGGAAGAGCGGCTGCCCTTTTTAAAGACTGGGAATTACCTTCCCACCTTTTGGTCAGATGGAAGGCAGCTTTGAGATGAGGACTGAATGAAGATGAGTTTCGAATACTCACTAGAAATAACACGGGTGTTTCTTTTAAATTTTAGGGTTGATGTTATCGGTTCCAGCGGACGAAGTAAGTTTTAGTTTATCAATCAATGTTTTAATACCAGCGGAGTTAACGTTAATAGGATGCATGCGCTCGTAAAGCTCTTCAGGGAGAGTGGGGACGAAGTCCAAGCACTCGTTAGTAAACACTGATGAAAAGTATTCGTTAAACACAGAACTATCATGCTCGACGTTGCACATCCGACATTCCTAACTCATCCCCATCTTCCTAAACGTCCGTGTGTGTCCTAAACCAAAAACCGGAATTTTAAAGGTTAAAAACGGCACGTTGCGAATATGGAACGCGCACTTTCATGCAAAGCTGACGTCAAGTGACTCAAATCGAAAAACATGCATATTTACAGTATTGTTACCTCTTCTGGTGAAGGCTAAACAACCGTTGCATCCGTTTTCGCGCACGAAACGGTGACTCCCAGAGAAAGTAAGAACGCAGTGATTGTCTTTATTTTAACAATGTAAACACACTTGCAGGCGTGCGCTGATGAAGCCTCAAAATCAAAACTCTCGTAGTGTGATTCGTGACTGCTCCGGCTACTACCCAACCTCGTTGTCACGCCACTTTCTGCAAGCAAACACTAAAATTGCCAGTAAACACACAAAAGCGACATCGATACAATTATCTTGTAGAATATCACCTTATTTAATCATAACTGTTTCAATAGGCACTACAAGTTGTATTTATTTTAAGAAGAAGAAGCAAAATTTTTTTCGTAAGAAAAAACAAAATATCAATGTTAAGTCTGGTAACGTTGTAATTTTGCCGAATCATTGCCACATCTTTAGAAAACTTCGACAAAAGTTGCGCCGAATTTTCGATTAAGGGGGGGGGGGGAAGAGGTTCGTGTTTGCCCCCCCACTCAAAAACAAGTTGGTACGCCACTGCCCGTGGACTATCCGTTGACTGCGTTATGATCTGCCCAGTGACGCTGTGGGGTCCCGTGAAGAGCCCACAACGTCAAGGGGCAGATGGCTCCCGAATCACGTATACGTCATTCGGGAGCCAGCTGCGCTCGCCGACAGTCGCCTTTTCCCGCAGTCTCTCGCGGATCATGCCTCGTCTTGCTGTTTGTACTATTTTTCATCTTCCACCGTGGAACCGAGCAAAGGCGTCGGGCTGCGGATTTCACGGTCCGGGATCCATATTTGGAAAAGCATATGAAGTTATAAGTTAAAAGGACATTTCGGCACTTTGATTGGCGCGTTTGGTTTACCGGAGGGAGAGAGACAAGGGGTTTGGGGTATTATGCTTAGGTAAACACGCCTCATCGATTCACTGACTAGCCTTTCAGCCGGCCCCCCATTTCAATTGCCCGAGAAGCGTAAGAAAATCTGGAACTGGCTAAAGGCTAGCGCGTGAATCTCAGAGGTGTGTCTGCCTAAGCCTCACCTCATTTCTCCTCCCCCTTCCCCCCTTCTCTCTCTCTCCCCCCATAAACCAGGTGATATGTTACGCCCCCGAAAACACGCCAATCAGAGCGCCGAAATTATCCCGTTGACTTACTCCACAAGCTTTTCTAAATACGCGTTCGAGACTGCAGCCAAAGCTACAAGCGCGAGCTAGCCCGCGCCCCTGGCTTTGAGAAGTGCATTTTTAGCGCGACTGCTTGGTCTACGCAAGACCGCTTCAGAGCAGCGTCCTCCTGCACTCGTGCTTGTGGCGTTGGCTGCAGTCTCAGCTTTTGAAATAATGGAGTTAAGACGCTTTGGACACGCGCCAGAAGCCACCGTTGTCGACCTTCCCTTATCTTACCGAGGTGCCGAGTCACTGAAGCGGGATTTGACAAGTTTGCACAAAGGCCAATACTGGGGAGAAGGACAGAGTCGAATCGAAATTGGCAATAACCTGTCCTGCTGTGGTAATGATGGAGAGAAGTGATCAAAATCAAAGGAAACAGAAACAACTGTTTATGGCGGTGCCCATGCGCAGGTTCTGCAAAGCGTATGTAAGCAGCTCGATAAAAGTCGCTCGTTACCACTATTTGCGCGTAATTATGAGTACATATAAATAATTATGACTTAGAGTTCCTTCCTTTTGGATGCTTATGCATTGCCTACTATGAACTGTGTGGGCTTTGGACTTGGCCTGCGTGTATAACTGTTTTCGGTACGCTCGAGCTTCACAATTTTCGCGTAAAATGGACCCAATAAACACATTTAGCGTTAATATGTGAACTGGTGTAAACTCAGTATACTGATTCAAGGGAACGTGGTAATGCACGAACGCAATGCGAGAAACGGAACGGCCACAGGCCAGGTCAGTCGCTTCGAGGCGAAGGCGCCACTCACCTTCCCCGGAGTGGCTTTGCTCACATTTTACTTTGAGGCGCCCAATCCAGGAAGTGGACGACACTGCGGAGTTTTTCGAAAAGAACAGAAGAGAACGCTGTTTTAAACCTTCCGGCTATCAGTGTACTGAAGTTACATCGCAACAATGAGCCGAGAAATTGAGGGAGAGGAGGAGAGGAGATGGGACGCCAGAACGCCGAGCTCTGATTGGAAGGATTAGTGGGTAGACCTAGAGCTATATGCCTTTGTCTCCACTGAACTCTTCGAACGCGTTAGAACGGGCAACGCCTGCGTCTGGTGCTTGGCTTTCGCATTCGAAATGCGTTCGACGAGTGCAGTGGAGACAAAGGCATATAGCTCTAGGTCTACCCACTAATCCTTCCAATCAGAGCTCGGCGTTCTGGCGTCCCCGAGCGCCCATTGTCTCCTCCTCTCCCTTAGATTCTCGGCGCATAGACATAGCCCCTAAACATTAGAACGCATGTGAACCATATGAATAAACAAGGTTTGTTTTGTTTTTTCATCGGCACCAAATTTATTTTAAAAGAACTTTTCTTAGGGCTTTAATAGCCCTAAGATCAAGTGAAGAGCCATGGGGGCAAGAGAAAAAAAATTGTGAAATTGAATTATTAGCTATCCAGTTAAACCTTTTTAACATACTTTGTTTTTTAAGTTTCCGCTTTTCGGCGTAATACACAGGGTGTCAGAAAAAAAAATACAGGTTTTTTAACGCAAAAATAAACTAGGCATCGCCGAACGCTCATTCTCCGCCCAAAGGTAATGCTAGAGGTCACAACCAGATTCCAAAGTTACAGCCCAATCCGATACCTTAATCAAAAGTTATAACTTATAAGTGATTTTATGAAAATTTCTATGGGAAAATGGCGGCCGACGGAGTTTTCGAATGCATGGGGCTCTATAACACTAGAAACCGAAAAAGGGCAAATGTGGGCTTCATTTTCCCATTGAAATTTTTAGAAAATCACCTTTAACTTTTTAATAAGGTATCGAATCGGGCTGAAACTTTGGCATCTGGTTGTGACCTCGGGCCGTTGGGCAAACAATGAGCGTTCGGCGACGCCTAGTTTATTTTTGCAGTGAAAAAACCCTGTAAATTTTTTGGGTGACAGGGTGTAGTCGTAAGATCTACGCTCGGCCTCATAGTCTATATAGTCACTGAGTATATAGTCCACTGTAACAACACTTTAGTGTATCCTGCACCACGAGCGCGTGCTCACACAGTCACAGCACAGCGGAAGATGTGGAGTGCGTGCTGAAAACCGACCATTCGAAAGACGCGCCTTGCCGTTCTCACTCCGTTAGTGACTATAACCGTGGCGTGAAACTGGTGTTAACATATTCGTAGTTGGACCTACGAGGCGAAATATGTCGTTCTTGTGTAGACGTTTTCACTCTTAACAAAAATGCCAGTTGACACGGGCTAAATCATGGTCCAGCCAGCGCTCGCTCGCCATTGCGGCCAGCAAGACAGTGCGTGTGCATAACACACAAACATAGCAATGAACGCGCCCCGAGACGCTTTTATAGAACGGTGTATACTCAGCTCGAGACCGAAACTGAGTCACCGAACCCCACCTCTGATCTCAATTCTTGGGCTCTGCGCTATGCGTCGCAACGCCCACGTTACCTCCGTCGGGGACACGTGGGTTGCGGGGCCGGCGCGGGAACGGATTGATCGACATCCCTAGAGCGCTTCGGTGGCTCAGTTTTGGTTTTCCAGCCGTGCAGGAGAATGACATTTTTCGTCCTGTGGTTTGTGCCATTCTGTAGTTTTATTTTACTACGAAATAGCACACCACGGCAAGAGTATAATGTCGTCGAGCGTCAATTCTAAGACTACGTTATGCCCCAAGAACTGAAAGTGTAAAACGTTAATCAAAAAGGTTTGGCTAATTAACTAACTTCCCAATTTCGTGTATTTTCTAGCGACCCCCAAAGCCCCCAACGTAGGCCCAGGGCTAAAAAAAAACCTAATGCAGGTTCCATTCTTTTATGTTCTGATCCCTCCTAAAGAAACACCCTGTAAAAGAATATACTATGCGAACAGGCTGGCATAAATCGCCCGCTCAGTCTCAAATCGGCCGGAGAAATCAGCACTTGAACGCAGCAATCTCAGGTCGTAAATATCAACTAAATACGTTGTCGAATTTTAGAAAACTAAAATTCTTCGACATTAAACATATGATGCAAGATAATCTAGCAAAGCTCAAAAGTCTACCGAAGGTAAGACCAAGTTCTGAGACCTTTGCTCTTCGCAATTTACTGAACACTATGGAGACTTACGGGAACTTAGAGACTAAGAGTTTACGCTGTTTGGTACACTGTTATGCTCTGCGAGATATTGTTGACAGTTTTGCCGAGCGAGTCGTTATAGTGTGCTGTCGCAGAAGGACCTTCGGTGACCAAAGCACAGCTGTGTTACCAACATCAATAAAGTGGAGACTTAGATCGGTTATTTTAGCTCTTGAAAATCGAGGTAGAATGTCGCGAAAGAAAAGTGATGATTAGAACCAATTTTCAAAGGACAGCGGTCATTCTCCCGAAACCCGCCACCAGGCAAGATTCAAAAACAAAAGCAACGGTGCTCCACAATCGTACAAAGCCGCCTAATACCCCATTCAAACGGTCAGCATAAAGGTACCTTTAACACAGGTCCCTTTGTTATCGGCGAATCAGCCCATGCTCTTGGGTCGCGAGCGCACGGCATGCGCGGAAGATCGCTAATTGATTGGCCGCAGAGAATAAAGTTTCCTTAGCTAAAGGTACCTTTACGGTCCTGTGAATGGGGTATTAGACAGAAGGCTTTTCTGTGGCTCACGGAAATATAAAACAAATGAGTTCGCCAGCGCGGGAAGTTTAGAAGAGGACCAAGCACGATAGTGCAATGTAAATACGGAAAGCGCATTCTAGATAAAAGGTACTGCAGGCACGGTATCTCTTGCACTACTTCCGAAGAAAGACACGCGAAAACCATGAGTCACACCCACAGAAAAACAAAAGTTAAGTGTAACGCCCAAGGGTGTAGGAATACGAAAGTTCTACACTCATTCGGCAGCTGCATTGAAAGACTAGTTATGATTCTGGGTTTTCGGAGTTAAGTTTTCGTAAAATGAGGAGGGTGTTTTTTGCGGTTTATTTTTCGCTAGGATGCTGAGGTTTATCGAACATCATTTTTGTTTAATTCTTAATTCTTCAAAATTGTGCGTTTAATCTTACATTGTTTCAAAATTTGTCAAACTTCAATAAAATAACTAAAAATTTCCGGTCAAAAGCTTAACCTAAGTTGATCAAATCTCCCGATATCGAAAGGTATTTGCGCAGCGGCATTTGGCAATAACACCCTTGCACTTGGGAAGTACTGCACAATGAGTCGCTTCAATAATTATCGGTACTTTCAAATAGACAAACTCCTGAACGTAGTTGTTGGGAAGCGTAAACCTGGGGTCACACTGCTCATACATCCTACAAAAGACAGTCTTAAGTCACGAGTCACCGCGATATCCATGGTTCGAATGCCGCGTGCCAAGTTTCTCCTTTTACTCATTGCCATGCGGCATTCGAAGTAAGTATATCGTGGTGACCCACGTTCGCCTCAGTTTGCAGGCTGTTTTTTCTAGATGTATAAGCAGTATGATCCCGGCTTAAAAGCTTAAGCTGCTTTTCTATCAAATCTACAAATATTTAACTGGTATAAAAATACCACCATCCTCCCTTATCCAAGAAGCACAAATAGTATGGTCCAAACTGGAAACCAGAAAAGTAACTTTTGTCGTAGCTCAAAAGTATATTGACTCGTTGTACTCTACAAACCTTTGCGAGATAAACGATAACCTAAATTTTGTCAATAAATCGAGATTTAAAAAAATTAAGAGGCCTTTTTTTAGGAGTGCCAGACCTGTGCTCTACAAACTTCATGCGTAAAATGTGTTCTTTTTGCCTTTCATTTTTCCGTCGTGAACTCGAAATTCGGAGTTTTTCGGATAAATACGAATTGACAAATATTTTACCGGCGAGCGTTTTTTGGAGTTCCTCAGATTTATTTGAAAACACGCAACCCCAGGTCAGAGCCGTGCATACAGAGAGTTTGGTCAATGGGAGCCGCGGGCAGAGCCAGGGCGTGCACCAGACACAGAAAGTGGGCTTGGCATGCTCCTTTGGCAAGCCAGAAGCCTAAAAGAATCCCTTAGCGGTGGTAGTGAGAAACTGTTGAAACAGTTTCTCAAACGTATATGTTTCTCAAACGTATATGTTCGTATATAGTTTTAATAAGCGAGTGATGCTTCGTCTATGATCATTCAGAAAGATGTAAGACACGAATGCGCCGCTCAACACTGTTTTGTTCGGAAAGAGTGACCTCTCGGACGGCAGATTCACGGTTGTCGGCGTTTGGCGTATGGATTATGTCGATTGCTTCGCTAAGCGCAACCTTCCACCATGATTTTGAATGACCGTGATTGAAACATCACGTGCACCATATTTTCCGTCAAGAGGGCTGCTCCGACGCACTTATAAGGTTTGTTTCTCGCGACCACCACCAGGGTATTATTTCCGGCTTCTGTTTGGCCACTTTCGAATTTGTGAAGACGCCCTGAATACGCCCAGTTCGCTTTCAGCCAATGATGCCTCCTTATTTGTCTCCTATACTTCCCAACGAATGGCCTCTCTACATATACGCCTCTGCCCCAGGTATAGGCGAGCCCTAACTTTTATCGTGTAGATTATTGCCCAAAATGGAGCACTTCCCACTATATTATTAATTAATACGACAGGTTTTAATTTAAAAAAAAAATTGCTCCACACCGCACGCAGATTTGCAGTTACGTGATTAAAATAGGTATACAAATGTAGGACTCTCAAGCTTGGTAGCGTTTGATATATTTAGTTTACACTGCATAAACAAATTCTACAGCATCGAGCATTTAAAGGGTAAACACAACCCCCAGACGATGAATCGGCAGTTGACATGAAGGCATTTTTACAATAAGATCCCTCAATAGCTTCTTCACGAAGAAGGTAGGCGTTCATAAATATTATTGCGCCT